GTCTATGGTTCTTTTTCCGGAATGGCCGCCTCACATAGGCTCTTAACACCATCCTCCACTAGAGACCAACCCGGCTTCCTTGACAGTATAAATCTTTATTCAAAACCAAGCAAAAATGAACCTGAAATGATACATAGTATTACAGTACATTCTCCTAGTTGAAGCTGCCATTGTCATACATACTGTACCTGTGTGCTTTTTATTCTAAGTATAAATCTAGGAATGAAATGCATGATGCATTTTTATGTAATACAAATCCTACAGTACTTTATTTTTAGATGCCCATTTATGAAGGATTTAATTTTTTTACCCCATTTAGACTCTAATAAATAAGACAATGTTCTCATAGAAAGCAAAGTTCCTGGCTATAATACAAAGCGCTTGTTATACTGATAATACCAGTATAATATATTATATAGATAAACATGAAGAAAGATCACAATTAAGTTTGCATTTTTAATCAGAGATGTAAAATAGGAACGCTTTTCCTTACATATCGCTTATGTATTAAACCCCCTTGTGGTATTGATATTAGACTATTTTCAAACCCATTTTTTAGTGTGATAATTTAATCTAAGCACTTTACCAAATACATTGACATAATTAAGAATAATGAAAAATTATAACTATAAACACAATCTCACCCATGCAATCCATAAATAACAATGGTATTGATAAATTGTAAGTTCTTGTGTGGCTCCGAAGAAACTAGGTAAAAAATACATGAGGATGTGTTACTTTTATTCTCTCCTACCTTTTATTTTCTATTGAAAGTAGGGCCGTGTCACTGAAAAACATCATTCCTTGCTTAGCAAGTAAAGAGAAGCACTAAAATAGTTCCAAGCCCAAAAGACGTTTAAAGGAAACCTATTAGATTAACGCTACTGCCCTGCAGTCCATAGCAGGGATTTGTCTAAATTGACCTTCAGAATTTAAGAGGATTTAATTGCTACAAAGGGATTATTAACTTGACGCTACAGTCAATGTTGAGAGCAATTTTGTTTCACAATGCACAAGTCTTGGATGCACAAACTGAAATGTTGTAATGAGTATCTAGTACACATGTTTAAGAGGTGCAGAGATGATAAAATATGTAAACAGTTATGCTTCAAACAGTCTTTGTTTAAAAAAAAACTCAGGTGTTCCTAAAAGCTAGTGTTTCTTTTCCTTTATCCTATCCTTGACTTTTTGTGGCTCAAACTGTATCAGTCTGAGAATTTCCTTATTATTCATGATCCCTTGAATAAATTCTCCTTCTGTCAGCTTATCTGAAAAATAAACAAAGAGATATGTATATTTTAAGAATGGCAGTGTAACCGGGCATACAGAAAAAGCAGGTTTAAAATTACCATTTTCAGATTGTTTCCAATAATTATTGAGACAATGAAATATCTTTGATGATTGTTCTGCAGAATAATGAGGTATTAAATGAGTATTTACCTAAGAATAAATGTATTTGTTTCTAAACCTTGAAATCCTATGAGAGATTTTAATGATTCTCAAATTCTCAAAGACAAAAAACGTTGTGTTTGAGGAGTGGTGTCACAGCTTTGCGATAAAGCACTACTTCGTCTTCATAAGAAAAGCTGCTGTTTATCTACCCAAACTTGATTTAAATGTGTTAAGACTATATTCACAGCTAAATGTTCTTAGATATACTAAAAAGGGCAGTAACTCTTTTTTTTGTACTAGAAATATTGTAGTAATGGCATTTTACTAGTAGTTTTTAATCTGACCTTTCACAACATTCCATCATTCTTAAAGAAGCAAATCATGAATTGTATTTTAAACCTAATGAAACAGATCTACAATTATGGTATTTTATTGGACCTGACTCAGGTCATGATACAGAATTATATATTTTAAACTAACAGTGTTTACTTTTCAAAACACTTAAAGAGATCTGGAAATTCCATCCCTATTATCTATTGAATGGTGTTTATTTCTGCAACTCGTAACAGAGCAGATGAACTGACATACCATTTTCTTTCTTTCCAAAGTAATCCCAGATTTTATCTGTTCTCTTTTCCGGTGTATTCTCATCTTCTGGAAGGGTCTTTTGATCTTCTACACATATCATATTAAATATGGCCTGAAAAGACAAGTCAAGACATTGTTGAAAAAGAAGATTAAAAGTCATCAAACAATATAAAAAGTGTTCTCTAAACTTTAACTACATACAGTATGACCATAAAACCATATGGTCATACAATCATTTTCCAGTTGGGGTTTTAAACCACCTTTATGTTAATCCCACTACCATGATGAAAATAATGATTTGAAGATATAATCTCAATGGAATACAATCATGACTTTATTCACCCCTTTTGAAAATTGGCACTGCAGGAGATTAAAAGTTAATTGTCCAATTAAACACATTTTCCTCCACTGCCTTGATTATAACTGGGTAAAAAGAGTTCATGCTTATTTGGATGAAAGTAAATCTTGATCTTAATATCATAGAAATATTCTATTCTGATTTTAGTATGTTTTGTATAATTCATGGATCTAAACTGTTTTTTAATCATGATTTAAGGGACACACATCTCTTCATTGATTTGGCCTATTCTAAAGAATCAAATACGTTACGTTTGCCATACTAATCAACAAATGATGGCTTAATATAATTTGTACTGTTATACTGTAAACATTTTGTTTTGTATTAGCTACAGTACATGTGTATACAGTATATGTTGACATTTCATTTAAAAAATTTCCTTGCCAGGTAATAATTTATTCAAAGGACACCTAAAAATTAAATAGCCCAATGCAAAATAGCCTAAACTATTTGTACACCATTATTTGTGCACCCACAGCCTTGTGGAATAGATTATACAGACAGAAGTGAGTGGCTCACTGCTAACAAGCTTTCACACAGAGAGATTGTTCTCAGACACCCAAACTAACTTACAGTAAAGGCACTTAAGGTAACCAATGAAAAGATACAGTATACCTTGACAATTTCCAGGACCTCGGTTTTACTGATGGTCCCATTGCCATCAACGTCGTACAAGCCAAAGGCCCACTCCAATTTCTGCATAGTTTTTCCAGAGGAGGTCAGGTGCAGTGCAATGATGTATTCCTTAAAGTCCAGTGTGCCATCGCTGTTGGCATCAAAGCTTCTGAAAACGTGTTGTGCATATGCTTTGGGGTCGGCATCAGGGAAGAAACTGGCATAAATACCTTCAAACTGTTGCTTGGTAATTCTTCCACTTGGGCACTCCTTTTGAAAGGATTGGTACCAGGCTGTCAACTCCTCCTCTGAGTATTTTGTATTCAGCTTGAGATCTTCCAGAAGTTCCTTTGAGAGAGCCCCACTTTTGCTGTTTCCCATTTCAAAAAACCCCTTTGTGTGATGCTGACTTAGCTGAGGAGCACTCAAATCTCTTTGCACTCAACAATCCCACACACTGCTGAATGGGACATGATATCTCCTTTTAAATCCAGCCAGGCTTCTTTAGGATTAAGAGGATAAACACGTCACACACAAAGTCTTGTTTTTCTGGGGGGGAAGCTGGGATGCAATGCTGAATGTGTCAATCAATGATATTAATAAAAAAGCAAAGATTTTGATATGTGAATCAGTCTACACAGGAACATTTCTCATGTGTTCAACTGGTCAGAGATTTTATTTTGGATTATTATTTTGGATTACTGCTGTTTGATTTTCATTGTTTTGTTATTGCATT